TCGGGGAGGAAAGCGGAGCTCGGACGGGCGGGCGGCTGGGTCGGTTCGCGGCTCCGGCTTAGTACCATGAGGCGAGGATCGGGGACTGGGGGCACTGCTTGTGAAGTGCTGCTGCTGCCCGGTCCTGCCTGTAGCCTCTGCTAAACTTCTCTCATCCTTCGGTCATCCTTGCACATACCCGCAGCAGTGGTTTTAGCTTCCCAGTGCTAATCAGCAGCTTTGCAAAAAGCTGTATAAAACCATTTATGGTGTAATATACTACAGACCTATCCAGAACAGCTGTCAGGTATACAAGACAGTTAAATGTTAAAAAGGCTAACCAGGTCATTGCTCCTGGTGTCACTGTCATCCTGAGTTTTTTTTCCCCTCTTGATCTGTTGTGCAACCTTTCAAGCATATAAGCGTTCTCTTGCTGATATAACTGGTGTATCCTTTCCTGTTCCCCATAAGCAAGGCTTTCCCAGAGGTGACCAGCCTTAGAGTTCAGCATGTGTCCAAGTTAAACAACTCTTCCTTCTCCCCACCACTTTTATCTTACTTATACAGGGAAAATATACTGTGACTTCTTGAGGTTTAAGTGATAGGAAGAGGCAGAGAGGAAAGGGCAATTCCAGTTTCTTTAAATCCGGCTCTTGTAGTCCCTGTTTCTTAAAAGGATGACCATCCGTCTTCCTGAGAAATCCACTACTTCTGCAGCAGTGGATATTGCTGGTCCTACTGGCTCTCTTACCCTCTCAATCCTGTGAGGAAAGAAGTACAGATGGTGGGAAAAGGGTGATTAGTGACCTCTACCTTTCCACAAAACTCAGGTAATCAGCAGTGGATGTCTTTGTGGACAGTTCTCCCTCCTTGCTCTCTTAGTTAGCCTGGTGACTGCCTTGGCTTTCTACAACATGACAGTAAATTTTTAGTTTTCTAACAAACACTGTTATGCCAGCAGCTAGCAGTGAAATAAATGATTGAACTAACTCAGGTTAGTCTAACCTGCCACGGTCAGTTTCTGGAAAGGACATGCAATAACTCTTCTCCTCCTTGCAGTAGTTCCCAGGGAAGGGAACAGGAAGGGTTATGGCTGTGAGGGCACCTGGCTACAAGGCAGGTACAAGTTATGCCCAGGTCTTGCACAGGCAACAGAACTTAGGGAATGCAGGGTTCACATGCAATGTCAAGCCAAGAACTTTAAACTTTTTTTTAACTCAGTGAAGGGATCCAAACTTGGTCTCCATCAGTTACAGCACCAGAAAGGGAAGCAGCCCCTTGACAAAAGAGCTCTGCTGCTGTGACTAGTAAGTGAATCAATATCAATGGTTATACCTATATTAATATATTTCCCACTGTGTAGGCTCTGATACATGGACATGGTGAACCATTCCTTCCTTTTGCTGTTCACCTGTCCTCCCTTTCAGGTGCTCCCATCCTGAGCTGCAGAGGCAGCTTATCTGCATGAAACAGAACGCTTTATAACTTTGTATTTACAAATAGTTAACGATATTTAATTTTCCTTAATTACCAGTTTGTAGCATGTTTTTCCTTACTGTGGGATGCCCCGGATCTGTCCCTGTGGGAGTGGGAACTCCTACTGTTCTTCAGGGTAAATAGTGCTTGCAGACAAATCCAAATTTCTCTTCCTATTTGTAGTTGTGAAGTATCTTGATACTGGTGTGAGTGAAACATGATAAGCAACGTGTGTAATTGCTATTTTAATCACATTAGTATCTCTGAAACAAACTTGTGCCAGCAAACAAGGTGCATATGACTGGCCCGCGTTTTCATAAGCACAACTTGCTTTTCTTCTGTGGTTCTTCATACAGGTTCATCAACAGATTTGCTCTGCTGGCTTTGTGGGGGTGTGATGGGAGGTCAGCATGTTACACCTGAAGGACAGGAGCTTAAGTCTCTTCAGCTTAAGTGGCAGCAGCTTGCATCTGTAGTCCCCACTGTGTTGAGTAAGATGGTGACCATCACAGATGGCCTTGGTTTTTACCTCATTTAGATGTTCTTGGAGTTAGTGCCACTTTAAGAACATTCTTTTAAGTTTCGTTCTTAAAGGCTATATGTATTGTTCTAAATCTGTGGGTTTCCATGCCTTTGGGGACTACTGGATGTCCTCCAGTGCAGATGACTATCCGTTTGGAAGCTTGGCATGCATGAGGATTGGTGTGGTGTGTGTGTGAGCTTGCTTTTCCAAGACACTTTCTGCAGAAGTCTTTGGTCACGTGTCTCCTTCCCTGAATGTGTTTGTGTTCTTTTGTGTTCCATCTCAACAGATGGGAACAGCTCAAAACAACAGTGACCTCAAAAAACTCCATGCAGTGGAGCTTGACCTGTATAACAAGGACATAATGGCAGACACATTTGATCACAGCATTATTTCAGTTGGAGAAGAGGAAGGAATGGGCAATTTCCAACGTTCTCTTCCAACACGAGAGTCACTCCGATCCCCTCGGGGCTCTTCTGTGAGTTTCCATAATATCCAGTACTCCGTTAAGCAGTCAAGTGGATTCCTATGTAAACGGAAAACTGTGGAAAAGAAGATCCTTCATAATGTTTAGTAAGTTCTTGCTTAAGTAAAATACCAGAGGGTAGGAATTAATCTGCTGCTGAGAATCAGTGACCTTAATGTCACCTTCTAGATCCAGCTGTGCTGGTAAAGAAATGACTACCCTTGTGCCAGTCTGCAGTTCATGCGAGCACTTTCTAGTTTGCTTTTAGGCAAAATAGCGGGGATATAGCTGAAGCAGCTTCAGTTATTGATCTGCGCAAATTAGGACCAAACTTGTGTGATCTCTTCTGTCAGAGGACTTGAGGGTTCCCTTAACTGTGGTTCAAGCTGTGGTGGGAGGAAATGAGAAGCACAGAGCATTTGATGCTTCTTTTCAAGACCCAGCTCAGCATGGAAGACATTTAATTTTTGTCTTTTGTAGATTGCTTTTTATGTCCAGCTCTGGTTCTGTTCTGACTGGCAGTCTGGGACAAGAAAGGAAAAATGCATATTGATTTCAGATTTAAGGAGAAGTTTTTAATAATCTCGAAGTTTTCCTTTCAACAGCATTTTGTTCACACCTTACCTCTACTATGAGCTGCATGTGAATGCTTCTCCATTTGGAAATAACTCTTTTCTTTCTTCCAGTGGCATTATGAAGCCAGGCTTGAATGCTATCCTGGGGCCAACAGGGAGTGGTAAATCTTCGTGAGTATTTTCTTCTGCTCCTTCAAATGTACAGGCAGCTGTGCAAAGAGGATTTGGGGTTCTGAGGGTTGAGGGAGATGTGAGGGACCTGAAGGCTCAGACCTTTGCATGCCTGTGAGAAATGTGGTGATGCAGTTTGATGTTGTGGCTCTCTGCTGTTGGCTTTGCTGGAGTTCTGCTCTGGTGGTCCATATTATTGCACTCACCTTTGGTGTTGGCCTGAGTTAAGATACCAGGCTGAACTGGGGTGGCTGGAGCTCAGGTGTAGGCTCTGTCTTAGACCTGTCATGGCGTAGGGAGGGGGTGCAGGCTCCCTCAGGGCAGGTGAGATGTTGTTCCCTGTGAAGTCACTGCAGCAAGACTTCGTTGAAAATGCTAGGCCAAACCTCTATCTGACAACTGACAGGAATATGGTCTAATGTCAGTCTGTAGGATCCTCTGGACTTTCACCCCAACTTGGCTGTGGCTTGGTGGTGGAGGTGCATATGTGCTTAAGTTCTTTGGATGAAAGCAAAGAGAAATACCATGCAGACTATCTCCAGACAGTGATGATCCTGTTTTCTCTCCCATAGAAGCATGGTGAGAGAGCTCTTTGTCATTCTCTGCCTTTGAGAATGTCAGAGACTGGCAAATATGGCCAGGGTTCACACAGGTGTGACTCTGTGGTGACCCTTGATCTTCCTCTCTAAGGCTACTGCTGGCTGATCAGGATGTTTTCAAGAGCAGCATTTCATCAGGGCGGTGTTTACTTCGCTAGCAGACAGGCTGGCCTCTGCATTGGCAGTAAGGAGAATCCAGTGATATGTTAAAACAAAATTACTTTACAGAATTAATCTTAACTCTAGTCTTGTTTATACCATTTGGATTAATTTCCTTGAGATCAAAGTAGTTACTTCTGTGCTCCCCTGGCTGGAGAGCAGGCTGCAGCTACTCAGCAGAGTGCTTTTGTCTGTGTGCATTTGAGGTTGGCTGTTAATATGAAGACTGAGTTTATGCCTGTAGGGGGTTGACTGCTGTGAATTGTGAGGGTCTGTATACTGCTGTGGCACACCTTGTGCTCGAAAATCCTGTGTCCACACCAGACTTTCTGTACAAAGCCCTCAGAGTAAAAGAAGCCCCTTTATGTGCTCTTTGGTTTGCAGCATGCCATGTGTCTGCATGTCCTCAGTCGTGACTGGTAGTACTTACCCAGTCAAAGGTAAAAGTAGCTGTTATGGCAAAACCTAAAGCCTGGTGTTTGTCTGAAGTCTCCTAGATGTGCTGGCTGCCAGAAAGGACCCAGCAGGCCTGTCTGGAGAAGTGCTTATAGATGGCATCCCACAACCTCCAAATTTCAAGTGCATCTCAGGATATGTTGTGCAGGTGAGTAACTACCTTCCTTCAGTGGAGGCCTGGGAGCTTTTGGGAGGGAGGACTGCATAAGATGAGCAAAGCATGAACTACTAGGTTAGGTAATTTTCAATGATCCCTACAGAGTCTAATTTCATAACTCAGATGTTACAGTATTTAGTATTTTTCTGGGATATGGAAGACAAGAGGATCAAACTTTTACTCCAGCCAAGTCAAGCACAGAGCCATATGGATGCCCAGACCACTGGGCTACTATGGCTTGTTCTTTGGGCTCTGCCCTGAACTACTAGCAAGGGTTTTAAAAATAGAAAGGTGAGGAAAAAACCCGCAACACCCAAAATCTCTTGTTGTAAAATTCAGAAGCAGTTCTAGCTGGCAGAAGTAGCATCAAGCTATCAGACAATAATTCTAGGAAGTAAATAGAACCCTGCTGTTCTTCCTCTGATTCTGCCTGGCTGGGACAGAGCTTCGTTCCACTCAGAGACAGGAAATGATGGCTGAATCTGCGGAAGTGGGTGGAGGCCTGGACCAATAATAGATCCTCAAAGCCCTGGGGGAACTGAGGAGAAGGGGATTCTTGGCAGCCATATGAGCAGCCAAATCTGGAAACCATCCAGGCTTCTGACTGCAGGCAGATGTGAAATAGGCAGCTTTTCTGAAAGCTGCTAGCTGGGGTGCTCTGGGAGGATGCGTATGATGAGACTGATGCTGAGTCTTGATCCTGCAGCTGAAAAGATCCCCAAATCCTCAGTGCTTCATGAATGGCTAGGAAGTGTCTTGCAAGTGGTCCAAGTTTGAGACATGTCTCTCACATGTCCAAAGCAACCAAACTTAACCTTAAAATGACAGGCAACTAGTGAGACATTAAATGGTCTCTCTCAGCTCCCACCCCTGGGCATTAATCCCCAGATCAATAAAGATGGCCCAAAGACTACAAACACCACTCAAGGCCTAAATACATACATGCTTATAGGATCAGTTGTATGCAGGTGAGCAAACAGACATGCTAAGTCATCTGTTATCCCTATACAACTGCTGGTGCTCTCTCCACTCATGCCTTTCAAATGAGAGTGTCATGCCAGTTTATTACGTTTGGTACTAAGGTAGCTTAAATTCAGTTTAGTTTCCAATGTGGTGAACCAACAGTTGTATTGGTGAGTCTGAGGCTGGGGAATGGGAGGTTAGGGTAAGGGACTGAGAGTGTGTAGGGAGGGAAGTGATGGTAGGAAATTCATAAACCAGCTTTGGCAGCAAAGCCAGTTTATCGTAACACTACACCCTGAGTAATCTGTCACGTACTTCTAATACCACAGCATGTTCGGTCTTCTGCTGTTAACTCCAGTGCCAAACGTGGTTGGCTGGCACATCCTTTGTGCTGCTGATCAACTATATCTGATGTGGAAGAAGTCCCAAAGCAGGCAAGAATCTGCTGCCCTGCAGCTTATGGGCTGTGTCTTCCAAGGGGCACTAGATTGGAAAGGTGCATGGTTAACAGGCCTGTTTCTCAGCAGCTGCTCACTGTTGCAGCGCTTCTCCCATCGAATGGTGGGATGCAGAATTGGCTTGGATATCAAAGCAGGCGTGATGGAGAGGCATGAAGCTCTGGATGGACTTGACATCAACTCTGTTTGGCTCATGGTTGTTACAGGTTGGTGTAGGCTGCCCAGATGTTGTGTCAACTGGATAGATTTGATTCTTACTCAAAATGCATGTGACTGTTGAAGCTTTTCTAAAGAGGTAGCCCTTAGAATAAGGTCTTGTGCCCAACAGTTATAGATAGTTGAGACATGGAAAAAATCGGGAGCATCTTGGTGCAATACTCGTGTTTCTCTGAGGAGCTGCTGCCAGCGAGGAGCTGGGGATAGCTCCTTGTTGGCAGCTGAACTTGGTGGGTGCTCTGGACCACAGCAAGATATGGCTTGCAGCTGGGAACAGAGCTAACTGCTACTGAGTGACCTTGAATTTTGTGTTATGTAAGTTTTGAAGCTGGGGTTGTCCCTCAGTCCAGTTTCCACTGTGGTCCACAAACAGCTTATCCAACAATTGTCACTACAGGAACTTAGGTGCCCAGTCAGGTAGCTGAGAAGGAGGCTTTCCAACTGTCCATTTGTATTGCTTTCAGGATGATGTTGTCATGGGCACAATGACAGTGAGGGAGAACCTGCACTTCTCTGCTGCCCTGCGACTCCCCAGCTCCATCAGTGTTAAAGAGAAGGAAGAGCGAGTCACCCAGATAATCAGTGAGCTGGGATTAAGCAAAGTGGCTGATGCTAAGGTGAGCAGTAAGAATACCTTTCTTAGAAACCATACTACCTCTGGAAATTGAACTGTTTGACTCTGCAGTATGGTGTACACAGTGCAGCTACACTAAGCTAAGCAGGAACCTGACTAAACCATACTGCACACAAGAAATCAGTCTCTAGCTCGAGAGGTAGCTTGGAAAGAGTTATGCATATTTGCTACTAAAGGAGAAGATTTTGGACCATGTCCAGCATGTTGTATAAGCTCAGAGGGGAAAAAGTTACCTAGTCATTGCATGTTGGAAAGCTGCTCAGTCACTTCCTGTCTTTGTGGGACAAGACAGGGAAATCGTTTTTACAATGCTGAAAACTGTGAGGGATGGAAAGCTGGGTTATGATGGAGAAGTTCTGTGCAGAGCTTGTTCCTCCCAGAAGCATTTTTACCCTTACTTTTACTTTACTGACTCCACTCTTACTTAAGCAGCAGGCAAGCTGCCAAGAAAAGGCATCCCTGAAGACCAGTGCCACTTCTGACTGCTGTGGCCTTATTCTGGCTCTTGCTTGTCAGTGTCATCCTTGATCCCTGAAGTCATAAGGTGCCTGGCACCTCTGAAACTCAGGTTCTGCTTACTGCTACACAGTTCCTCACACTGAGTCAGACCCATCATCTGCTGCTGGCCTGAGGGTTCACTAATGGGACTGAAAATTAAAAGGGCTGCTGCGTGTGGAGAGCCCTGAACTCCAGGGCATGCACTGGCTAGGTCTTGTTGCAAATACGTGATTTCTTCTGCTTGTAGGTAGGAACTGAATTGATCCGGGGAGTGTCTGGAGGGGAACGGAAGAGAACCAACATTGGGATGGAGCTCATCACAGAGCCACCAGTCCTTTTTCTGGATGAGCCAACAACTGGCCTTGATGCCAGCACAGCCAATGCAGTCCTCATCCTCTTGAAGAAGTAAGAGTCAGTTGTTCAGGGCTCTGCTCCAATTTTCTTGTAAGCTCACTAGTGAAAAAAGGAATCCTGTTATGACTGAGTAGCTACAGTACTTTTTTTTACAAAAAAAAAAAAAGTAAAAGCTAGACAAATAGATGCAGAAGTGGTAGTAAATTATCTGGGTGTTGTCCAAAGCCATTTGCAGTTGATGGGAATCTTTCCACAGCAAGCATTGTTTTGTAGCCCAAAAAGCAGATGTAGCTTGGACAGATGCCCTTTGCCACAGAGAGGGGTGGACTGGGAGGTCAGGCCTTGTAATGATAATTTCTCGGCCCTCCAGCTGAGTCTGTAACAAAGTCTCTTCCTCCACTCTGGCAATAGCCTTGAACTCCTGTCAGACTTCACCTGCAGATTTTAGAGAAGTGTTTATACACAACTGCAGCCTGCAACTTTTGCGAGCTACAGGCAACATCATACTTTGTCTAAGCAGACTGCAATGACAGCCTCTTGTAGTGACGGGTGCTATCTTGAAGGTCTTGCAGGCAGCATCTGACACAGTGACAGAGAAGGGGGAACTACAGCTTTTCTGGGTCAAGACCCTGAGAAGTTGGCAAGTATTTGTCTTGGATTTGGATACTTATTTTTGCTTGGGTTACCATGACCTTTCTGAAATGCAAAGTGGCAAAGTGTGGTGCATTTGAGAGATGTTTTGTTTCTATTTCAGGCTCTCGAGAAGAGGGCGAACCATCATATTTTCCATCCATCAGCCCCGCTATTCCATATTCAAGCTGTTTGACAGTCTCACATTACTAGCTCTGGGAAAGGTGCTGTACCATGGTCCTGCGAAGCAGGCCCTGGAGTACTTTAGTTCTATTGGTAAGTCTTCTGTGCCAAGAGCAAAGGCAATTGGCTAATGAGTTTAATCTGTGGGTAGATGCTTTTACTAGCACTGGATAACAGTCCTGTGCTGTTTTATCACTGGGATACTAGAGGCTGTACACATACAGTCTGAACAGAGTTATGTTGGAACAGGAAAAAACCAAAATGATAAAACCAAATTTTTTCAGACAACACAGAGAATGGCTCTCTCCTGCCTTTGTTTTGCCTTGCATCACGACAAAAACCCAGAATCGCTTGGACATTTAGCAGCATGATGTACAGCAGACAAGACGATGCTTGTAATTCTGGCAGGCCTAGGTGACAGACATAGTGGGTTTTGAACCACAGCCTGCAGAGTGGCAGCAATCCCTAGGGGCTGATTCAAGAATCTGCTCTAGTCTGAATGCAGGTGGGCAACTGAGAGGACAGAATCATGGTGTGTCCTAAGAAGGGTTAATAATTGCACTGTTGGGTGGCTGCTCCCTCTCCACTTAAGCAGGGTGAGGGTTTCTGACTATGATGGACAGAAAATGTGGAGTGAATTTCCATCTAATCTAGATGCAGACATGTTCCCATTGGATTGTAAGCTCTCCCTGGCTTTAAGGGAGATGCTTTAACCAATCTCACTACTTGTTCTCTTCCTCTTAGTATCCCACCTCATTTCCTTTCTCATACGAGTGGTATAGAATAAGCATCCTTGCTTTTTTAAATTTCCTCCTCATTCCATAGCTAGAACCATATGATAAGAAGCTGCTCTTGGACAGCTCTTCCTTGTGACCAAGGAAACACAAGCAAGAGTTGAGCTTCTAGAGCAAGCATTTGAGGCTGTAGAGTAGACATCCAGCAACCTCTGCTGAGGAACTGTGTGTCTTTCAGAATGGCACATGCTTGAACAGCACTGGGAAGCAGCCAAGAGCTATTCATGCTGACGTGTGAAGAGGCAAGTTGCAGATTTCCCCTCACCTGAAATCAGTGGAGAATAGGCAACTTTGAAGCTCTGTATAGATACCTCGGATTCGTCATCTCCTAAATCCTGTCCATTTTACTGCTGTAAATTAATGCTGATGGAAAGTGGTAGAGTTTTCTCATAGCAAGGATGTGGAAGCGTGATATAATATTAGACCTGATCTTCCAAGCTGTGCTCTGTGCAATGCATACATGTTGCATGTGTGGGGTTTTTTTTGGATTTTTTTTTTAAGGATACGAATGTGAACCCTTCAACAATCCGGCTGACTTCTTCCTTGATATCATAAATGGTGATTCAACTGCTGTGGCAGCAAGCAAGGAAGACCACAGACCTGTGGACACAGGAAAAGGTAAATTGTGAAGGAGAAATCCACTCTTGGGTGGTGTAGAAGGGAAGTTGTATGTGGTGATGGCAAACTTTTATTCTCTGGGTTTCTTCCAGTCTAAGGGCATTTAGTTATCTTTTTATTTTTCCTACTAATAGATATACTTTGCTTTAGGGTTCTTTAAATTGCTCACAAAGCTTTTAAAAGGGATTTTTTTTTTTCTTCTTTCAGTAATATAGGAGAGCAGTGATAAATATCAGTCATTTACAAAACCTGCATGGGAAAGACTGAAAAACTAGAATTGCTTAGTCTCAGGACACAGCTGACAGAAGACAAGTTTTCAGTCACATAAGAGGCTGCTGCAGAGAAGACAGGGTAGTAATGGATTTACAGAGCAGTGAGAAAGACTGGAACTAGATCAGAGAACAAACTCCAACAGTATAGTGAGTGAAATGTTGGGAAATACTTGTTTGGGGATTTTGTAGCACATGAATGACTGAAGGATTATCAGGGAACAGTTTTCATAATGGTGCTTTCTGAGGATAGGGAAATGGATCAGAGCAAACATCAATTTCCCCAAAATTCAATGAAACAAAGATTTTTCTGGTGCCTCATTCTAAGAATACGGCAATTTTTGTGTCACAAAGAACAGGCAGATTAGCCAGATTCAGTTGAAACTGTAAGGAAACCCTCTCACTCAAGCTAGCCTCTTAAGCTCACAGCTAAGGCTTGAACAATTTAATTTCTCTGGGTATTCCTGCTTTTTTTTATTCAGCCTCCAAAGTGGCTGAACATGTTGATGAGCCATGTCTGAAGGTGGGGTTCACGGGGAATCACAAGGCATATCTTGTCTTTCTCACTCAGAGGTGAGCAATGAAAATGGAGTGGCAGAAGATAATGTGGACAGCAGCGTGGTAGATGTGCTGCACCAGAAATATCTCAACTCCAGTCTGTATCAGAGCACAAAGGAAGCACTGAGGAAAGTGGAGCTTAGACGGGGAAGCAAGCAGAGAGTATCCACACAGGGGCATGAGATTACCTACGCAAATGGATTCCTCACCCAGCTGTATTGGGTGTCCAGTCGTTCCCTGAAAAACCTCATCAGGAACCCACAGGCCTCCGTTGCACAAGTAGGTAACAATTGCTAAAAGTCTCAGACTCCCTCTGCTCTGAGTCCTGCAATCTGCAGTTTGTAGGACAGACTTTTGTTTTCAAAGGCAGCTAGCTATGTCTGTGTCATAGGTATATGTTGACTCACAACAGCAAAGTTTTAGGCAGATGTGAATCTTAAACCCTGCATATGCCTTAATAGTAAGTTTGTCACTGTTTACTTATCTGAAGGACTTCCTTTTTGCTTTCTTCTTTCACCCTCTAGATTGCAGTGACCATAATTCTAGCCTTGGTTGTGGGTGCTATCTTTTTCGGTGTAAAATTGGATCGAAGTGGCATTCAGAATCGGTAAGTTGGAAAGCCACAGCTTTGCTCACTTTTCTGTCTGTAGCAGACAGGTTTCAGCCTTGGAATCCACTTGGACCACAAAGGAGGGGGTTCACAAGCCTCAATGCACTGCAGCGTGGTATTGCAGGTGGTCCTAAAGGGACCGCAGTTCTGTTGGGCTCACACGTGTGTACAAAGGAGATGGGAAAGGGAAGATAAATTAATAAACCTGGTTATACAGCTAAGATCTACAGTTGCAAAGTTAAATATCTCCATTCTGTGGACAGAGATAGAAAAGCAGTGACTTGATGGTATGATGATGTCTGAACCTGTCAGCATTGATCTAGGCTGTTTCCTCACTTTTTGACTGTTCTGTTTTGCCTTCTAGGGTTGGATCCTTGTTTTTTGTCACCACAAACCAGTGTTTTTCCAGTGTCTCTGCAATTGAGCTGTTCATCAGAGACAAGAAACTATTTGTGTAAGTAGTGAGGCACTTAGACTGTCTCATGCCCTGGAGTCAGGTGGGGGGAGTATCTTACAGGCTAAACAAAATTACTTCCACCAAAGACTTGATTGCTCCCTTGCAACATCAGACTGTAGTAGTAAAGCTAAATTGGCCTGTAGAGCAGGGAGCTGAAATGCTAAGAGGTGGGGAAGGAGGGGAGAAATAAAATGCTTTTATTTGCTTGCTGTGTCAGTTCATTGAGAAGTGCTTTTCCTACCCACTTTCAGTAACAGCTGTTTTTGAAGTCTGCATGTGAATCCTGCAGACTGTGAACCCTGACTGCCTTCTTGCTGACAGGGTTGAAACGCTGTCTTGCAATGGTCCTGAAGTGGTAAGACTGTGCAAAGATGAAGGCAGAGTTCTTGGAAAAGCTTCACAAGGGATGCTCAGATGAAGAGGGCTGCTGTCTGGCTTACAAGAGCCTATTATGATTATTACCTAATAATCAAGTCCATCTTTCTGTGTATATATATATGTGTGTGTGTGTGTGTTTGTATTTGTATGTCTGTATATGTATGTAAATACATGTATATGTTATATACATGCATGTATATATACATATATGTTGACAATACAGTTTGGAATAGCCTCCAGCTCATGGAATAAAAGGGCAAGAGACAGATCCTGTGCAGTAAAGAAGAAATTGGAGATTTGTGCCTGGAATGCACATGTCTACCTACAGCTCAAAGAAGCTTAATATTGCCCTTAACAGCTGCTCAGGAGTGAATCTCCCCCACACTGACATTTCTTGCCAGTCTGCCCTGCTTACCGGCTTGGCTTACTATCTGTGTCAATGGGGATTTTGGTACCTCACCAATTAAAGCATCTTTTCATGAGCTCCATTAAGCAGCAAAACAATCATAATGACATTTAATTGCCCTGTGAACTGGAGGTGAGTTGATGTTCTAAAGGTGTTTTCTCACTGTTGGGTATCATTCCTTCTTCCCTTGAAGCAGCTGTATGAGTTAGCTGTGGATGAGGTGTTCCTGCAGTTAACAGCAGTCTAATACTTTCCCATGTTCTTGTGTTAAGGATCATTCTCTTTGAAAAGAGATTTAGGAGCTTTTTTCCAAAACATTACTTAGCAGTCACAAAGCCTTTCATTCACTTTCCTTGGAGGGTTCTCAGTATGACCACAGGGCCTGTCAGATGGATCAGCCCTTACTTTACAGAGTGGGAAGTCATAGCACAAAGAAAATAAGCAACTTCCATGTAGAGAAGGAGTTGTTGGTAGAGAGAACAGAAACCAAATCAGGATAAACCAGACACGCATGCTGATCCTGCTTCCTAGATAACCTCTAAACCTGTAAAACTCCCCTCCTTCCTGTCCTCGCAGCCATCAGTACACCAGTGGATATTACCGTGTGTCTGCCTACTTCCTGGCCTTGATGATAGGAGATCTGCTGCCCATGAGAACTGCTCCAGCCATCATATTCTCATGCATCAGTTACTGGATGATTGGTAAAGAATTGATGCTTTCGTTGAACCTATCATCTTCCAACACATTTGATTTCTGACTTAGCCAGAGTATTATTCCTATATCTACAACATGAAACTAGTTGAATCTTCAACTGACTTAAGCGTGTGGCATCATAACTTTGGAGGACTCTGGGGCAGGGGCAGAGACACCAGCAATCTAAGGGACCTGCTTGACCACATCTTTCAGTAATGGTCTTTGGGCCTTTGGAGCATGCGTAGTTCCTGCCAACTCCAAACTTGCTCTTTCTTCCTGCTTTCCCTGTCTTCTGTAGGAGTCCAAGGGTACCTCTCTGGGATTCATAATGTGGTTGTTTACTGAACACTTTCCTTTCTGTTTTTTGACAGGGTACCAAGCTGTTGCAGGCCGGTTCTTCTTCTTCATGCTGACCCTGGTACTGGTGTCCTACACTGCCACAGCCATGTCTCTGGCTATCAGTGCTGGGATGGATGTGGTGGCTGTGGCAAATCTGCTCATCACTATTTGTTTTGTCCTGATGCTTGTAAGTATTTAAAGGTGTGGGTGCTCCTTTAGTGGAGGTGAGGAAGCAGCAGCCACAGGCTGAGAGGACAGGGTTGAGCTAGCCCTAAGCAGACTGAGAATCCACTCTCCAGTAGCCTGTGATTTTATTGTCACTATAGTCAAAGACTTACTTCTGCCAGCTTGTAATCTAAGGGTCAAATAATGGCCCAAGTGCAATTCGATAGGTGTGATGCTACCAGAGCTTTGCAAACAGTGTGCCCCAAATAAGGTTTTTTTTTCCTTTAAGTTGTTTTTTGTAAGGACAATTTAAAAAAATTTCTTGCATTTCCAGTATTAGAAATATAAGTGATCACCCAAATATTTAAAATAAAAAAATCTTGAAATAAACTTTAGATCAGTTGATTTAATTGCATTAATTTTTGTTTCATAGTGGGATTAGCAGGAGCATACCCTCTCTTTATTTTAATTCAGTATTGCCCTTGGGTTCCTGAAATTACTTCAATACCCTTCTTCAAGGACTTCTAAGGAGAAGAGCAAGTGAGAAAGGAAATTTGACCACTCATAGATGAGGGATGTGAATTCTTTTTCAAAGAGATAATGTTAATGATGAAACTTCTTGACTGTGAGGCCTATCGAGTTACCTTAGAGTAAAAAGTACCTCCTGTCAGGTGATTCCTGGTAGCTGTCTGTGTACATGTTCTGAGACCACAGTGCATGCCTTATTCTTCAATTTGCAATTTAACTTGCTTTTGCAATAAGCTAACTGGTAGTGTATTGCTTCAGATGCCTGCTGTGGGTAAGAAGTGTGCATGCATAGTGAAGGGCAGCTGATGTACGTGGAGTTAAATCATAGAATATAAGGTCCAAGTGCTAAGAAGTAAAAGAGCAAACCTTGTTCCAGGCTGGAGAGTGCACAAAGAAAAGATTTAGGTCAGAGGAGAAAGCTGAAACAGTAACAGCCCTTAAGGCTCCCCATAGTTTCCTTCTTGTTTCTTCACTTCCTCATCTCCCAGTCATCCTTTGGTAGCCCCTGGCTAGCTCTGACATAGGACACAGTCCTCCAGAGTAAGAAGTTGTTAGCATGCATGCTTCTTAGCTTGCCTGTGGATGCAGAAAACCTTTCTGACCTCTTTGCAGGCAGTTCAGCTGGGGTACTTGGGTGTGCTGCTGGGCCAGCTGGCTAGGACTGCTGCAAGGTTTGAACCCCAGGCCTGCAGGCACAGGCGTTACAGCAGTGGGAGGTCCATCTATCCCAGTGCACCTCTGCTGGGCAATCTGTGCAGGAATGGCATTGTTTGCAGTAAACTGTGGCTCATGAGTCTCTTCTGTTCTATTTCAGATCTTCTCAGGCCTCTTAGTAAACCTCCCTTCTGTAATGGGCTGGCTGAACTGGCTCAAGTACTTCAGCATCCCTCGATATGGCCTTACAGTGAGTAGAAATAGCATTGGTCTCCTGTGAGTAATGTAGCACGCTGAGGCTGCTTCCTGGAGAGCTTTTGGGTATAAATGAAGTTCTCTTAAAAGTGAGATTTGGCTTCTTTCCTTGCATGAGCATGGTAAAAGAAGAACAAACCAGCCAACCCCAGAAAGGAAGGAAAAGTTAATATCTGTGTGAGAGGTGGAAGTCCCAGAGACTCAACAAATCCTTTGTGCCACAAAATTAGTGCTGCTTGGACAGCAGCAGAGCAAGCTGTCCAGTGAGGCACTAATTTCTATCCTGAATAATTGATCCCTATGGTTTAGAATAAAGTCACATATTTTATGGCCTTGCCAGAAGCTGCTGTTTGGGTGGGCAGTCTGAGGTTAATGACTGTCCAGCTGGTTAAAGGATTTACCATAATGCCTGAGTGTCTCAGTCCTCAATGTGGCTTCCTCTGAAGTGAAGTATGACTTACTGTAAACTCTGAATAAGAAGCTGAGGTACCATAAAGCTAAGGGTGCAGCTTCTTGAAACACAGTAACTGCACATAGCAGGTCACCCACTGGTCACAGGTGGGAGCTGTGCTTCCATCTCCTGTCTTCATCCTGGCCAAGCTTATTTGGGAGGAATAGTTTGAGTAAAAATGAGGGAAATTAATGCCAGAGCTGGTGCAGGGTAGTGTGGGCAGGACCATGTTGACCAGCAGTGGAAGAGAAAGGTAGGATCAGGGAGGGGGGTAGATGTGTGACTGTTTGTACCTGTTTGGGTATCACTGAGATACTTTATCAGTGTTGCTGAATGTGCAAGTGTCCCCTGAGACTGCAGTTAGCCTGGGGTGCCCATGCAAGGGAACCCTTCCTTTCTTGCCTTGGCTGAGTGTTCCATCTGCTTCAGTGTGCTGGTGCTGGGGTGTCTGCATGCAGCCACATGGTTTTCTGGGTCAGTAGATTGACCCAGGTTAAAGTGGATGAACAGGAATTTGTAGCTGTCAAGACAGAAACCCATGGCTAAATCACTGAAATGTAACTTCGAAGCCAAAGACTCAGATTCCCAGCGATCCTGCATGTAGAATGTGGAGCAGTTCCTCAGAAAGGCAGTGAATAAGAGCTTCAAAATAAAAAGGAACAAACATATAATTCCAAGAATGGTGATATGTGTTCCTTTGAGGTGTTTCAGTTTTAGCACCCCAAGTCACTAACTCTGTAAAAATATGATGTTTTTTTTCCCTAGGCTCTTCAAGTGAATGAGTTCAGAGATCTCTACTTCTGTGGTGAGAAAAATCCAAATGTTACAGCATCTGTAGGAGATGCAGGCAGTTGTCTGCCCAGTATTTCAGGAGAAATGTAAGTCTCTAACTCATGGTGGTTCTTTGGCCTGAATTGTGATGGCTTGCTTGAAGAGAAGTCTGACTGTTTCAAATGTTTATTATTATTCACAGAATAACCACTCACAGTCCAGTCTCAATAATATGTTCCAAAATAATGTATTTTAGGATTCTATAGTAAAACTTCACAATTACCCAAGAGTGAAGTAGGGATGAAACTTTACTCCTAAAAACAGGCATATGAGCTAAATTAAATTTTGTTTTTGATAACCTAGCCCTGGCTTATCAGCTTTGTTAAACAAACCCAGGGTCACTTAGCAATGGAAATGCAATGTGCTACAAAGCTGGTGGAAAGCAGTAGACCTGTGATCAGAAACATGCTAGTCACTAAGAGCTGTTTGTAAATATTAACCTCCCTGCAGATACAGCAGAGTGCCAAGGTACCTATCTCCCAGTGCTACTGCCCCATTTGAAATACTCTTGATTATTGATACCTTAAGTTGCAAGTATTTCATGACACATCCTAGAGGCCTGGCAAACTGAGGTTATTGCAGGAAGAGTGCTAAAGCACTGTTTCCACAGCTTTTGGACCACAAACCCCTGCTGTGGACCTCCGATGATTGCTGTGTGAAACTAATGCTTTTGTATTTATCACAGTAATGTGGTTCTGAGGTTAACTCATAAAATTGCCAGTTATCTGTAAACAACAGTTAGAATATTACTGCAAAATTATAAGAATCAGAGATCTGGATTTGTCCCTTAAGCTTTTTTTTTTTTAGTGATGGGTTATGAAGTTACTCTTGTCACCTGTTTTACAGAATTGAGGGTAGAAGAATCTTTGTGGAACAAGAATAAAAGTAACTACCTGAAGACTTGCACCACATAGTAATACCAAATTGTATCCCATGCTTTTTTGCAGATGTTCTGGTGAAGCATACCTGTGCAGCCAAGGAATTGCACCTACCAACTGGGCAATGTGGGAAAACATAGTGGCTCTCATCTGCATGACTGTTGTCTTCCTTACCATTGCCTATGCAAAACTCCGGTTTATGAGAAAGTTCACATAGACTCCTGTGTTGCCTTGCTCTGCAGCTTCTCTGGTCTTAGAACTGCAAAGCTTGTTAGGGCCTACTGGAGATTGCCAAAAGATTTCAACTGATTTTATTGGACTTCAGATGTCCGTGTCCCCTTGTTTCTGGAGCATGATCTCCACCTGATTATATGATTTTGGTTTTTAAGAAGAAATGCATTAATGTAAATTGCATAAGTGATTTTTTTTTTTTTGGTAAGAGAATACAATTCTCATAATTCCTTAGGTACATATCAAAGTATGTATTGTAAAGCATTATTCTTCTGTGGCCAACATATATAGAATATGTTCAAAGGGAAACATTTTCCTTTGAACATGTGAGCTTTTTACTCACAAATGGTATAAGGTGATGATGGCATTTATGCATTGATATGTTGGCCCTTGTTAGTGCCCATCACATCTGAGGAGAGCCAGAGACCATTCAGTGTGTGGGAGATGCATTTGAGTTAGTACAGGCAATGTGTGCTCCTTGCCAAGCAAGAACAGTTATACTTCTAGTAACCTCTCAATAGAAGCTACTTCCAGAAACAACTTTTGCTTGATTAAAAACTAAACAGCAGTAGCGTAAGAGAGCTCGTCTAAGTGAGAAATATATACTGTTGTGCTGTAACAAAAGAAAAGAAAAACCCCTCACAAAACAACCAGCAAAAAAAAATACATTTACTACTTAAGAGGAGGGGAGGAAATTCCCTTTTTTTCTTTTAAGTAAAAACTTGTATACTTCTAGCAGATCTTTTTTAGTGAATTAATGCTTAGCTGTACCTTCTATATATTGTGCTACTTACACTATGGGCTGAAAAAACCCATGTAGACACTGCAGTGGCAACTACAGCACCGCTCACCGCAGTCACCACAGGACAGACTGTAGAGTGCCAGCAGCTGCCTCCTCACCACACCATTAGCAAAAGCAGAGCCGCTTTTAAGCTGCGTTAAGCCCCTCAGGTGCACGTGGACCAGCTCAGCCGAAGGAAAACAGTGGCTGGAGAGGCTGCTGGTGAGGGCTG